TATTCAATAGCATGATTCTCTAATAGAAGAAAATACTGCCTCTTACAATGTATACATTATTCCATGAAAAAGTGTACACAAGGGAAGTCCATATAATATACAACAGGTCACAGATCTTTAAGAGAAACAATCAACCTGATGATTTCACTCACATACACACCAGGTATGAAACATAGCAACATCAAGTGATATGGGAATAAAAATCAAATTTATATTTTCTTTTCAGAAGACTTCAAGTGATTTCAATATAAAGAATACTCTAAGTTAATTGTACATGTGGAAACATCAATTCTTTTGATATATTCAAGTATACAAATATTACCTAACTACATTTAAAGTTTGGAGTACTGCTGGAGACCAATTCCAGCATGACAGCAGGGCTGCAACTGGGAATGGCTGAGGGCATTTCCCCAAACCTGAATAGGATACATTAAATTGATTCGAGGATGCCAGACAGCCCAGGGCATCTTAATCTTTATGTTATTGCCTCCTACAGGCCAAACACCTGAACAGCCGTAGGGTAATTCCCCTATTCTGACAATGGACTCTGTAGGAAACCCTGACCCTTTGAAGTGTATATCTCTGCCTCATCTCAGGACAAATTGTGCTAATAAAAAGCATGGGGGGGGGGGAAGGTGGCCTCCCTGGAGCCTTGCCTCCTCCTCCTCTTTGTCTCCCAGGTGTCCCTGGTGATGGCACAGGAAGGCCAGGTTGCAGGACCACACATTTTTATTTTGTTTCCCTCTTCAACATTTTTGACACTGTGCTAATAGTGATATTCAGGACTGAAAGCTTTTTAGGAATTTTTGACAGTATTTTTGAACAAAACATTTTTTTGAAAAAAATACTTGTTAACTTATTCTATTTTAATTTGCCAAAGTCAAGAAAGATTTAAGAAATAAAAAAAGAAAAGAAAATGACAAGCCTCACTGCATGGCCCAAGTGACTGTGCAAGCCCAATGGGGACTAAGCCCATTACCGGGCATGCACACTTCAGCCCAGTCCGTTGCAGTGCATGTGCCCTGCTGCCAGCATTCTGCGGGGAGAAGGGAGGAGAGGCGGCCGTTTTACTCCATCACAACGGTTATCCCATTGTGAATGAACTGTGTGAACTATGATTTGGCGTTTAAGAGCAACATCCTTCTGTAAAAGAATCCTAGGAGAAGATGAAGAGTCTCCCCAGCCAGTTGAACCCATGGTTAATAATGTTCTTATAGCAAAAGTACAACCTTCATCTTCAAAATCTATACGTCTGCTTAAAGAAAAGACACCTCATCAGCATTTAGCAGTGGAAGCACTTCTAAAGGAATGTGAAGAACTAAAGAATACAGCACAGAAGTGGCAACAAGAAACAGTAAAACTCAGAACATATATGGAAACGAATAGGATAGAAATCTGTGAAGCAGGCGAGTAGAAAAAGAAGACTGATGAAAGAGCAAGACGGGATGTAGCAGACACCGGAGAACAAATCAATTCATTTTTACAGATACAAAGAGCATCTCAAGAAATGTCAGCGCAGATGATAAATGATCAGGCTTCAATAAGAAGTCCTTTGGAAGCCAGAAATAAAGAGCTGGAATCAGAAATCTCCAAAGTGCAAACTTCTCAAGATGGTATCAAAAGAGAATTGGAAAAATATGTGCGACTCTGCCAAGAAGAAATGGAACGCAGAAAGTTACTGGAAAATAAGCTGATTTTCACAGGATGAAGGAGAGGCTAGCAGAGTTTAGCACCGAACTTCTGGAGAAACAGATGAATAGACTATTGCTCAGCAAGAGAAATTCTACTCCAAGAGAAAACTTGGACAGCGCTACCTCAAGGCCATACACTTCCACTTACTGCAGGAATGTAGACACCATCTTCTACCAGCATATCCATGCCAGCCCCAGTCAGGCTGCCTTTGGATCCCCAACGTTCGAAACCTGGTCACCAGGGGTCACCATGGGCTCTGGTTTCCGCCAAGACACCGCCTCTTCCCCTGGAAGCCTCTGCTCCAGATGTGGCAGGAGCATTGAGAAACCCTAATTAGAGAACTAAAAGAAGATGCTACAAAATTTAAAGCTGAATCCTATAGAACTTGTAATGTAGGATCAGTCAGTCAATCAAGTTCATGTCAAGATCTACTTTTGAAAAATGCAACAAGAATATAAAGGGTCATATTTGGATAACGTTTTTACATCTTTATTTTTTTAAGTTTTTATGAGTTTACTAAATCCTTATAAAACAGAATACAAAATTCCAGCATTGACAGTTGGTGTCAAGAAAAACTTCTGAGCTGTATCAGTTTACCTGGTACAGTGGAGTTAAAGTGCTTGGATGTCTTTCCCCCACTTTTATTTATTTTATTTTATTTTTAGTATTTTGGGTGTGGTCTATTTTTGAATCTGTTCCATGAGCACTTGAGTGGAATGTATATTCCGCGGCTTTGGGTGAAGTGTTCTGAAGATGTCTATTAAGTCCATCTGATCTAGTGAGTCATTTAGGATTGCTGTTTCTTTGCTGATTGTTTGTCTAGAGGACTTATCCAGTGATGTCAGTGGTGTATTAAAGTCCCCTACTATGATTGTATTGTTGTCGATCTCTCCTTTGATATCTTCCAGGAGTTTTTTTATGTATTTGGGTGCTCCTGCATTGGGTGCATATATGTTTACCAGGGTTATATCTTCTTGTTGTATTGATCCCTTTAGTATTATGAAGTGGCCTTCCTTATCTCTTGTTATGGCCTTCACTTTGAGGTCTATTTTGTCTGATATAAGTATTGCTACCCCAGCTTTCTTTTCCTTTCCATTTGCCTGAAAGATATTTTTCCATCCCTTCACTTTCAGTCTGTGTGAGTCCCTTCTAATGAGGTGGGTCTCTTGTAGACAGCAGATGTATGGGTCATGTTTTTTTATCCATTCAGCCACTCGATGTCTTTTGGTTGGAGCATTTAGTCCGTTTACGTTTAAAGTTATTATTGAAAGGTACTTGTTTGTAGCCATTTCTATTTTTTGTGGCTGTTTTCTTTCTGAGCTTTTTATTTCTTCTTTTTACACCAGTCCCTTTAGCATTTCTTGCATTGCTGGCTTGGTGGTGATAAACTCCCTTAGCCTTTTTTTGTCTGTGAAGCTTCTTATTTCCCCTTCAATTTTGAATGATAGCCTTGCTGGATAGAGTATTCTTGGGTTCAGTCCTTTGCTTTGCATCACTTTGTAAATTTCCGTCCATTCTTTTCTGGCCTGATGTGTTTCTGTTGAGAAATCATTTGATAATCTAATGGGAGATCCCTTGTATGTAATTTTCCGTCTCTCTCTTACAGCCTGTAAGATTCTCTCTTTGTCCTGAACATTTGCCATGGTAATTATGATGCGTCTTGGTGTGGGCCTTTTTGGTTTCACCTGGTTTGGGACTCTCTGGGCTTGTGTGACTTTTTTCTTCCCCACCTCAGGGAAGTTTTCTGTTATTATTTCTTCAAATAGGTTTTCTAACCCTTGTTCTTCTTTCTGTTGTTCTGGCACCCCTATTATTCGTATGTTGTTTCATTTCATGTTATCTCATAGCTCTCTTAGGCTCTCCTCCTGTCTTTCAATTTTTTTCTCCAATTGCAGTTCAGTTTGGGTGTGTTTTGTTTCCTTGTCTTCTAATTCACTAATTCGGTCCTCTGCTTCTCCTAGTCTACTGTTGATACTTTCAATGGTGTTTTTTATTGCAACTATATCACATTTCATTTCTTCTTGGCTCTTACATAATTTATTGATTTTTTCATCTGTTTCTTCTTGCATAAGTTGTTTTTTACCTCCATGTGGTTTATGCACTCTGGGACCCTTAATCTGAATTCTTTTTCTGTCATCCTGCATGCCTGTTTCACTTAGCTGCTTTTCTGGCGAGCCGTCCTTTTCTTCCGTTTGGGGGTTTCTTTGTCTACCCATGTTTGATCTCACTGACATATCTAGATGTTAAGTCGTTTAGTGGCTGCTCCTTGGGTGGCAGTGGCTCCTCGGGTTGCCGTTGCTCCTCGGGTGGTTGTGGTAGCAGCTGCTCCTCATTTGGCAGCAGCTCCTCTGGTGGGTGCTCTTCACAACTGTGGTGGCTCCTCTGGCTCCGTTTTTACATATTTAAAGTCACTTTGAGGCAGAAATTCCTTGGAGTTTTATCAACTTTATATTTTGAACAAAAGTCCCTCCTCCTATAACATGAATGTAGAATTTCTATCCATTTACAATACCTAATACTGACAGAGGCTGTAGGTCCAAGTATATGATTTCCCACATTCTTCAGATTTAAGGTATCCCTCTAGAACAGTGGTTCTCAACCTTCCTAATGCCGCAACCCTTTAACGCAGTTCCTCAAATTGTGGTGACCCCCAATTTCATTGTTACAAATTGAACATAATTAAAGCATAGTGATTAATCACAAAAACAATATGTAATTATATATGTGTTTTCTGATGATCTTAGGTGACCCCTGTGAAAGGGTCGTTCCACCCCCAAAGGTGGTCAGGACCCACAGGTTGACAACCGCTGCTCTAGAATGAATTCCAAAGTGAGGAATAAGCGTCGGATGCTGATTAAAGACATTAGGACAATATTTCATTTGTATTGTTTCTCCCCAGTATGAATTCTGATGTTGGTTAAAGATTACATTATGTGTAAGCTTTGTCATTTTATTTATATCTGCGGGAATTCGATCCAGTAATAATCATGCGATGTTGTATGAGATATGAAAATATACACTTTGACATATGCCTGATAATTTGTAAGACCTTATTTATCATTCTCAATGTAGCTTCAACCTCTGAAGCCTAAATCCTTAGATGAAAACTTTATATTACTGCTGTTTCTCTTTAGAATGATTCCTAAAATGTTGAGCAGGTTAGACTACATATTAAAGGCTTTCTCACATTATCCACAGTATAAGGCTTCCCTCCACTGTAAAATCTCTGATGTGCAGTGAATTTTGAGCTGAGTCAAGGCTCCAGCCCATTCTCTACATTTGTATGTTCTCTTTTTAGTATAAAGTCTCTCAGGTACAGTAATACATGAATGCCTTATAAAGGCTTTTCTACATTTTTCACATTCATAAGGCTTCTTGCCAGTATCAATTCTATGATGTTCTGTAAGTTCTCACAGCTGGTAAAGGACATACGACACTCCTCACATCTGTAAGTCTTCTCTCAATTATGAACTCTGCTGTACAGTAAGGCAGGAACACTGACGAAAGGCCGTTATATCCTCCACATTTTTAAGGCTTCTCTCAAGTGTGAACTCTGCTGTAAAGTAAGGCAGAAACACTGATGAAAGGCTGTTATATCCTCTACATTTAGAAGGCTTCTCTCAAGTGTGAACTCTCTGGTGCTTAGTAAGGGATGCAGGGCTTCTCTCCAGTGTGAATACTCTGGTGCTTAATAAGATTTGAGGAGGTGACAAAGGCTTTGCCACATTCTCTACACGTATAAGGCTTCTCACCTGAATGAATTCTCTGATGTACAGTAAGACTTGAAGACCTGCTAAAGGCTTTCCCACATTCTCTACATTTATAAGGTTTCTCTCCAGTGTGAACCTTCTGATGTACAATAAGATTTGAAGTATTGCTAAAGGCTTTGTCACATTCTCTACATTTATAAGGCTTCTCTCCAGTATGAACACGCTGATGATTAGAAAGGGATGAGAACCAGCTAAAGGCTTTGCCACATTCTCTACATTTATAAGGCTTCTCTCCAGTATGAATAAGTTGATGACGATTAAGATCTGAGTAGTAGCTAAAGCTTTTGCCACACACTTTACATTTATAGGGCTTCTCTCCAGAATGAACTCTCTGATGATAAGTAAAGCGTGAGAACCGGCCAAAGGCTTTGCCACATGCTCTACATTTATAAACCTTATCTCCAGTATGAAGTCTTTGATGTACATTAAGGGAGGAGGAATATCTAAAGGCTTTGCCACATTCTCTACATTTATAAGGCTGCTCTCTAGTATGAACTCTCTGGTGGCAAGTAAGGGCTGCGGACTGCCTAAAGGCTTTGCCACATTCTCTACATTTATAAGGCTTCTCTCCAGAATGAACTCTCTGATGACAAGTAAGGTGTGAGGACCGGCCAAAGGCTTTGTCACATGCTCTACATTTATAAACCTTATCTCCGGTATGAAGTCTTTGATGTACATTAAGGGAGGAGGAATATCTAAAGGCTTTGCCACATTCTCTACATTTATAAGGCTTCTCTCCAGTATGAACTCTCTGATGGCAAGTTAGGGCTGCGGACTGCCTAAAGGCTTTGCCACATTCTCTACATTTGTAAGGTTTCTCTCCAGTATGAACTTTCTTATGTCGAATCATGCTTGAGGCGTGGAGGAATGCTTTACCACATTCTCTACATTTATAAGGCCTATCTTCAGTATGAACACTCTGATGATTAGTAAGAACTGCATGGTTTTTAAAGGTCTTGCCACATTCTCTACATTTATAAGGGTTTTCTCCAGTGTGAATTCTCTGATGAAGAATACGGGTTGAGGGCCGGCTAAAGATTTTGTCACATTCTGAACATTTATAAGACTGTTTTTCCCTATGACTTCTATGATGTTGCGTATGTCTTGAGGACTGACTAAAGACTTTTTCATTTTCCCTGAGTTTGTATAATTTTGCTTTAGTGTGAATTCTTCCTTTATGTACAATAAGAGAGGAATGACATTTAAAGGCTTTGCCACATGCTTTACATTTGTAAGGCTTCTCTCCAGTATAAATTCTCTGATTTAGAGTATAACCTGAAGGACAATAAGATGTTTTACCAAAATCTTTACATTTATAAGGTTCCTTTCTCCTATGGATTTTTTTGCATCTATTTAGATTGAATATTTGACTGCAGACTCTCCCACACGGTTTCCATTTGTAAGTCTGCTCCCCAGTAGGAATATTCTCTTGTTCATTGTAATTTGAAGGCTGCAGAAAATACTGGACACATTTACTTCCCTTGTGTGTCTTCTCCACAATAGGAAAAACCTGATGTATATTGTGACTGGACATTTGGTCAAAGACTTTTCCACTTTTATGATGCTCCTCTGCCAGCTCACTTGTCCGATGATTAAGATATGACTCTAGCTTAATGTTTTTCCAATGTTCAATCCATCGATAACTTCTATCTTCATTATGTGTACTCTGGTGATTATGGGAGATAGAAAGACCTTTAGTGACAGTTATAATTTCATTAAATATGTACACTTGCTTCAGAAAAACAATTTTGTGATACACATTAAACCTAGATGGTTGTATAACAAAAGCTTTCCTAATATACTAGACAAAAAATAAACACAAAACATTATTGTAAGAAGAAGAAGGATGAATCCTTGTTTGAAAGATTACCAAATTGTCCTAGCTGGTTTGGCTCAGTGGATAGAGTGTTGGCCTGCAGAATGAAGGGACCTGGGTTCTATCCCCAGTAGGGGGCATGCCAAAGGCAGCCGATCAATGATTCTTTCTCATGATTGATGTTTCTCTCTCTCCCTCTCTCTTTCTCTCTGAAATCATTAAAAATATTTTTAAAAATAATAATCATAAAAATGAATAAATAAAATATTACCAAATTGCCCTGCCAGCATGGGTCAGTGGTTGAGCTTTGACATAAGAAGAAGGAGATCACAGTTCCATTCCCAGTAAGGGCACATGGCCTGGCTGCTGAATCAGTCCCCAGTGGGAGGCATGCAGGCGGCCGCCAATGAATGATTGTCTCTCATCATTGATGTTTTCCTCTCCCTCTTCCATTCCCTTACTCTCTGAAATGAATTATATTATTTTAATTTAAAAAATCATAAAACATTTCCAAATTGAGCACATTTTAATTTTATAGGGACATGATAAATCTATATATTTTAGAAATGATTTACAAAGTTTAATCCCACCTGAATTTTATTTTATTTTTTTTTTTGTCTTTTTAAAAAATATTTTATTGATTTTTTTACAGAGAGGAAGGGAGAGGGATAGAGAGTTAGAAACATCGATGAGAGAGAAACATCGATCAGCTGCCTCCTGCACATCTCCTACTGGGGATATGCCTGCAACCAAGGTACATTCCCTTGACCAGAATCGAACCTGGGACCTTTCAGTCTGCAGGCCAACGCTCTATCCACTGAGCCAAACCGGTTTCAGCCCACCTGAATTTTAAACAACGCAAATTATTTACACTACAGACTATGTGAATTCCTAGTTTTTCCAGATTTCTTTTCCAAGAATGCATAACAGTAAAAACTTGTTTTCAACCTTCATGTGCACAAACACACTGATCTGCCAAAGTAACTGACTTTAAATTGGGAGGTTTCCCAAATTCATAATATACTTGACCTCTTTAGGTAAAAAGAAATTTATTACGATAATTTTTCCAGATGAGTTGTTTATATTAATATCCTCTGTTGTCATCACACTCTTCCTCAAATTTCAAGGCTTTCATTAAGTGTACATTATCAAAGCGACACCTTTTATATCTTACCAGTATTATTTCACAGAATAAATCTTGTATTCCGGGCTTTGGCATAAAGGCCTGGTTATCTTTAGGTGACATAGCTGAAAGAAAACAAATTTTCCGTTTTGACAATCACGTGAGTGCACTTAGAACTTACCAGCAAGTATTGACCAAATAACATTTTCGAGTACTCCAAGAGCCATTGTAGGATTCAACAAAAGCTCAAGATAGGTACAACGAAGAAAACTCACATCAAAGAGGGACAAAGAGTTGCTTACATTTGCCAATGATACCTGCTCAAAGCCCCTGGCACACAATGGCAATATTATAAAAACACTCCCAATTCCGTTTCTTCACTGGAGAGAGAGATGAGGAAAGTGCATTTGTGCATCTTCTATTTGTGGTGTTCTATTAAAGAAACACGTATCACTTTGATTTCTCTTGTGGAACTTTAGAAAATAAAAGGAATAGTCTGAGTGGTGCGGTTCCGTGGATAAGGGTCCCACCTATGAACCAGAGGTCACAGTTTGATTACCGGTGAGGGCACATGCCTGTGTTGCGGGCTCATTCCCCAGTGTGGGGGAGCCAATCAATGATACTCTCTCATCATGGATATTTCTATCTCTCTCCCCATCTGCTTCTTTGAAATAAAAAGGTATTTTGAAAAAATAAAAAATATATAAGAAGAATAAAATCTTAAATAACTGCAGGCACACAACATTAAAGATAATGTGATATCAACGTATGTCGGTACACAAGTAAAAATGACAATCTGCAGAGTTTTTGTATGCAGTTGACACTATGAGTTTAGGATACATTGTTATAACCTTAAGATATTTTAAGTAGTTCTCATGGTCACAAGAAATATAGAAAATAAAAATAGAACATAAAAAAAAATGGCCCTAGCCGGCTTGGCTCAGTGGATAGAGTGTTATCCTGCGGACTGAAGGGTCCTGGGTCCCATGCCGGCCAAGGGCACATGCCTGGATTGTGGGCTGGATCCCCAGGAGGGGGCATGCAGGAGGCAGATGATCAAAGATTCTCTCTCATCATTGATGTTTCTATCTCTCTCTCCCTCTCCCTTCCTGTCTGAAATCAGTAACAAATTAAGTATGTATTTACATGAATAACAGCATAATTGAAAATGAAATATTAACAATTTACTTCCCAAGAAGGTGCACGACTTGTATGCTGTGAAGCATAAAATATTGCTGGGTGCCCTCTGCAGTGTGTCTCAGTGGTTAGAGCATGGGCCCACCCACCAAATGGTTGCAGATTCGATCCGAACCCCATTTGGGATGTGTGAGGAAGCCAAACAACAACGTGTGTCTCTCGCATCGATATATTTCTCTCTCTTTCTTTCAATCCCCCTCCCTCCTTTCCACTCTCTCTAAAATTCAATGGGAAAAATAACATCGTGTGAGAAGTAACAAAAGAAAACACAGACACACACACACACACACAAACACATGGCTGGCTGTAATTAAACACCGAATCAGTAAATTGGAAAACACATTCCATGATCTGACTGAAATGCTAATAGTATTAGCTGTCATTAGTACCCAGAGTTACCTAAACATTCAAAGCAATCCCTATCAAATTCCCAGTGACACCTGTGGTGGAAATAAAAAACTCTTTCTAAAATTAATGTGAATGTCATAGGACTCCATGTAACCAAGTGAATCATGAAAAGAATGTATGAAATTAAAAGCTTCAGGCTTCTTGATTTTAAAACATACTTCAAAGCTTCTGCTATCAAAAAAATTATAATACAGCTCTAGCCAGTTTGGTTCAGTGGATAGAGCACCAACCTGTGAACTGAAGGTTCCCAGGTTCGATTACGGTCAAGGGCACATGCCAGGGTTGCCAGCTTTATCCCCAGTAGGGGTCGTGTAGGAGGCAGCCTATCAATGATTCTCTCTCATCATTGATGTTTCTAACTATCTCTCCCTCTCCTTTACTCTCTGAAATCAATAAAAATGTTAGAAAATAAACAAACAACAAAAAAACAACAACCTGTAATACAGACATTAAGGCAGAGGGAAATAATAAAGCAAATTAGACTAAAAGGCCGACATACAAATCCTCCTGGATGGGGTCTAAAGATCTTCACCCAGGGTGACTAAACTACAAGATAAGAAAAGGATATTCTCACCCTACCCAAGAGCTCAGTTGTTTAGAGTGTGATCCTCATACCAATACATTGCACCTTTGATCTGTGCTCAGGACACACTAAAAAATAATCAATGAGTGCATAACTAACTGGGGATACAAATGTCTCCCCCGCCTCCCCTGAGTTGCTCTTCCTCTAAAACCAATAAAAATAAAGTATAAAGTAGTGCTGGCTGTAATTAAATAAGAACTCAATAAATGAACTACATATGCGATGACCTTACATTGGAATGCTAACAGTATAAGCTGTCACGAGTACCCAAGGTTGACAAACATTCAAAGCAGGACTTACAAGTCCAGGAAGCGCAGAGAACCCCAAACAAAAAAAATCCAAAGAGGGACCCCACCAAGACACATCATAATTAAAATGCCAAGGTCAAAAGACAAGGAGAGAATCTTAAAAGCAGCAAGAGAAAAAAAGTCAGTTACCTACAAGGGAGTACCCATACGATTGTCAGCTGATTTCTCAACAGAAACTATGCAGGCCAGAAGGGAGTGGCAAGAAATATTCAAAGTGATGAATAGCAAGAACCTACAACCAAGATTACTTTATCCAGCAAAGCTATCATTCAGAATTGAAGGTCAGATAAAGAGCTTCACAAATAAGAAAAAGCTAAAGGAGTTCATCACCACCAAACCAGTATTATATGAAATGCTGAAAGGTATCCTTTAAGAAGAGTAAGAAGAAGAAAAAGGTAAAGATACAAATGATGAACAACAAATACATATCTATCAAGTGAATCTAAAAATCAAGTGAATAAAAAATCTGATGAACAGAATAAACTGGTGAATATAATAGCATCAGGGGCATAGAAAGGGAGCGGACTGACAATTCTTGGGGGGGAAAGGGGTGTGGGGGTGTGGGAAGAGACTGGACAAAAATCGTACCTATGGATGAGAATGGGGGGGCCTAAGGGCAGAGGGTGGGGTGGCAACTGGGTGGAGGGAGCTATGGGGGGAAAAAGAGGAACAACTGTAATATTCTGAACAGTAAAGATTTATTTAAAAAAAAACAAAAAATAACAAAGCAGGAACTACCCACGTCCCAATGTCACTTTTCACAAAATTAGCAATGCCCGCAACCAAGGTACATGCCCTTGACCGGAATCGAACCTGGGACCTTTCAGTCCGCAGGCCGACGCTCTATCCACTGAGCCAAACCGGTTTCGGCCCCAATGTCACTTTTCACAAAATTAGCAAACCTCATCCTAAAATTGATATGAAATGACACAGGACACCAGGGAACCAAAACAAACA